CTGATCTTTTTGTGTTGAATATTCCCCCTGTGGACTTTCCTGAATACTTGTTTGTCTTCTTTTCCCTGTTGTGTATTTTCTAATAGTTCTATTCGCTGAGATACAATATTGCTATTATTGAGTGGCTTTTTTTTTTTTTTTGGATGTTCTTTCTTTTATAGCTGAGGGACTTCTAGACACTTCAGTTGTGGAGGGTATTCTGAGTTGTGTTGTTTTTCCCAGCCCCCACTGTGTGTAGTTGTGTCTGTTGTCTCAGCTGGTAACAGTCAGGGGACTCTTGTGCTGTTCAGCCTCTTCTAGTAACACGTTGAGGCTGTGTTTTTGGAAGGTGTCTGTTGATCTTTGTTGTCTTCGGATGTCCCAGGTCCCCTCTATGCTTGGTGTGCCTGTGGTGGTTTTTATGAATTAGAAGTGTTGTTGGTCTCCCTGGAGCTGGGCCTTTGTCTGAGTTGGTGGTTGGCTTTGTTTACACTCTAAGTACAAAATTCCCATTTTCCTCAATTTTATCAAATAAACACTGCTTTAAAAAAAGGTTTATTTATTTATGCACACAGAACTGAGGTACAAGTCAGAGGTTCAGGAATGGTGAGAGGATTCACCAGAGACAGAGTGGGGAGCAGAGTAGGCAGATTGACAAAGTACACTGCTGAGAGGAGCAGTAGGCTGGCCAGGAGAGGTCAGCCATGCCATGTGAGTCACCTCCAGGGCCAGGGATCTAAATTGCACTGACGTGGCTGCAGCTGGCTTGCAATGTTGTGTCCTAACCCACTGTGCCACCAGCAAGGGACTAAACAGTGCTTTTGGACAATAAGAATTAAGTTGAAGCAACAGAGTTTCAAACTGGAACTGCCGGCCACACAGTTACTTGGCCCTGGGGGCTGGCGTGCAGGGTGTCCTTCCTCTGCATGCAGGGCCTGGGCAGAGCCTGGAAATGGCATGCAGAGCAAGAGGTTGGCAGTTGCACCCTGGCAACCTAGCAGAAGTTTCTGTGGGTCTCCTCTCTTTATCTTACTCTCAGCTGAATTGAAACACCATCAGTGCTGGAGGCTGTGTTTTGTGGAGGACAAAGCTTACTTCTAAAGCTGTGTGGATTTCTTGAGTGCTGGCCTTTGGTGGTGAAAGGCACTTAAACAGTGTGGGGAGAAATTATTGTTGCACTCTGCCCATACCAGCAATTTATAGTTTTTCAGTAGTCACTATAAATCTAATAAGCAGCTTAGTCAGAATTATAATTTGCAAATTAAAATTAAGGGTCTTCCCATTGTGCCTGAATTTAAGATTCATTAACAGGTTAAAAAAAGAAAATAGTTGCTTTTGATGTAGGTTTCTTTAGGTAGATAAATTCTCTTGAGGCCTGTGAGTCAGATACTAGGAATTCTTTTCAGTTCTCCCTTTGATGGAATAACTGGCAGTGGTAGGATGGTTCAAGCTGAACTTGATCTGTTTCCTTAAAAGGTTGATTTTGTTAAACTTCTACTGAAAGTGTATTGAGTAAAATATTTTACCACATGTGCTCTGTGTTACTTAACAGTATAACTTCTGTTTAAAAAAAAAAAAAAAGCATCCTGTACCCAGGTAACTCTTAAGATGGATTGTATTCTTTTAAAAAGTTGGAACCTGCACTGTCATTTGGTTCATTGTTCTACCTGAGTCCACGGCTTTTATTCTAGGAAATCCCAGCATGGAATTTTTAATTTGGTTGCACCATACTGCCCTTTCTAAGTTCTAAATCATCTCAGATTTGAAAAAAAAATTTCCCATGGTGTTTCTTGAAAGCATATAAAAGCAGAAATTGTTTTTTATTTTGGTGAGATAATGAGTCTTGGATTTTTTCCCTGTTTTTGCTAAAAGGTTGCTTTATTACTTTCACTTAGCTTAAATTGTAGCTACTAATTCATTAGCATATCCATAAGTATTTTCACCTGTCCCACAAAAACAGACAGTTCAAGAACTCTAATAGTCTTTGCTCGTGAGCTTATCCATATTTGTGAACCATCCTTAACTCCCATGGCAAGAAGAATTAACCTGATTTACCATAAAGACCATCTGCTTATTTCATGTTCCTAGGCACGTTGGCATTTGTGATCACATGGATTATCCTTGCCGCTTCCAGAATGCTTCGGCCATCACCCAGGCCATCATTCCTTATCGGGTCTTTGCCCCAGTCTGCCTCCACAGTACCTGCCAAGGGACCCTTCTGCCATTGATTCCGCCTTGCCTCTTAGCAGCACACTCTATTCTGGGAACACACCCCTTCTCCAGGCTGGATGTCCTCATCGTCCCTGCCAACTTTTCAAGTCTGGGGATGGCCAGGTACTTTGTTCTAATTTGGAGAATGTGCTTTGGAAATTCTTTGTGTATTTCTTGCTTTCCCTGAGCTGTCAGGACTATTACTTCATTAGGACGGAGGGAGCATAATTGCTCACATTTAGGTATCTCATTGCTTCCTAGAGGGATAGTTTGGGCATAGAGTCCCTCATGCCTGAAATTTTTGGTGTCATGGGCTTCATTCAGCAGCATAGAAAATGAAAGTCCCATTGTTGCTGGGACTGTGAACATTTCTAACTCCAGAGTGATGACTGTTGGAAGAGGCTGATCAGTAGTCAGTTGGCTTAGGTGGTGAGAGTATAATGTTAACGAGTTTAAGGTTCTTAGCTCTGGTAGAGTGACACAACTTAGTCTCAGGGCCATGGGGTGCTTCCCTAATCTTGACCAGCTGTCTCATCCATTCTCACCATTGATCATAAGGGCAACAACTGTGTCAGAAAGACTATGGTTGGAGCGGCATAAATTCATCACCACTGCTAGAAAAAACAGGTCAAATCAAATGGCTTCTGGCAGAGAATGGGGAGCAAGTTACTTGTCACACTACTATTTTTTAATATAACAAATGTTATAGAAACAAATGTTACCTTTCTTCTTTATTAGCTTACATTTTTTTAAAACTTTTGTTTAAATGCTTTAAATGGCAGAGGCTACAACAAAAATAGAAATAAGATTGTGTTTTTATAGGATATATAAAATTAAAATACATAGCAAAGAACACATAAAGGACAGAGAGAGTAACTAGAACTACATTGTTTAAAAGGTGTTTGGAAACAATTTTTGGTATTTCCATATCTGACACTTAAATCCCATGTTATATGTATTTATTTATTTTGGCTTTCTTTTTTTGGGGCAATATTGGTTTGTAATGTTGTATATGAGTCATACCTCCTCAGATTTGTATTACTACTCTTTTATCCTTTCTCACCTCCTCCACCCCCTGCCACCACAAAGCACCCAAAGACCTTTTACCTTAGGCCACTGGGTCACCTTCTGTTTTGTTCCTCCCTTCCCTCTAGTAGTCTCAATTCTGAATAAATGCATTACTATCATTGTTATCAAAATCTAGTTCCTATGCCTTTCCCTATGTATTATTTTTACATAAAATGAATTCATTGATATCATTCATTTCACCAAGCATTTTGCCTGGTTATGTACTCAGGGATTTACTTGGTTTTATTTCTGTTTGAAAATTTTAATCATTAACAGTGTATATGCTTGATTAAGGATGGGAAAAATAAGCTCATCAAAACATGTGACTTTTAAGTTTTTCCTTATTAGTCAAGGAAATTCCTGCCACCAATTAATTTCCATGCTTTTGAACAGCTGTCATTTGTGGTATTTTCCCTGAAAATTGCACACATTCTTAGTAAAACCCATGAGTAGAGAAGAATTGACCAGAACATTTGTTTTTGATCTTTATTACATAGATATATTTTTTAAAAGATCATTTGCTAGTCTTAATCCTCAAGGAGGCCTGAGAAAAATCACTTAGACTGATTTTTATCTTATGTTTATGAAGATAATGGGGATGGTAGAAACCAGGTAATTAAATATATTTGGTTATGTGCATCATATAATTGTCTTGGATGTCTATATATATAGTATATGTCTTAACAAGGGGACTTCTCCGGTCCCTTTGAAGAGTCTGCTGGAATTAATTTGAGTTATTAGGGAAGAAAGGTTTGTTCATCAAGTGGTGCTCATTTGTATACAGTTTTGAGGGGCCATATTTATTTATGAGTGTTTAGCAGTTCATGAAATTTGACATTTTTCAGGGCATGTTTGCTAACAGTTCCAAGTTCTGACCTGAGGGAACCAAAGGTAGGAGCAGTTTTCATACAGAGGACCTTATTTTATATAACTCCTTCCTGACATCAGTCTGCCAAAACCAGAAGGCCAACCTATAAAGCTCCTCTTTTCAAATTTGCATGCCCAAGCAAGTAGGCTGTGTGTTTGCTGCTTTTTGAGATATTTAAAATGATTTAAACATGCTTAACTCTGTATTTTTAAAGCAATAAGCCTAAGAACCCTAAGGCTAACTGGTACTGGGCACAAATGTCAAAAAAATGTGATGTTGATAATAACTTAGCAGCAACAAGACTGCTTTTATGCTTAAAAACAGGAGTACCATACACTGAAAAATTGTGGTTGGTTGTCAAATATCATTTTTTCCTCATTTATTTCTTTGTAGACTAGAAATAATCGACCCTGGTCTAGATGTTTTCCTGGGCTTAGTTACCATCCCTTGTATTTAAGCTGTGGAGGGGGAATTGTGGTATCTTCCACTGCTAGTTGGGGGTGGGGAGTAGGAGCAGTACTTCCTAGCTCAGACCTAAATTGATTCCACTTGCTTGGCCTGACTCTCACCATCCCAACACCTTGAGCCACATGTGGCTGAGTGGGGTTTATGACTTAGCTGGCTTCTGGGTCCTACTGCCTTATTTACAGTCAAGGCTTTACTTGAGGCTGGAACAAAGCAAAGTTGGAAAAAATGACAGACTTAGAACTGTCAACTCTGTACCCTAAGCAGGCATAGAGAAACCCGAGGCTAGTAGGAGCCATCCCAAAAGACCTGCACACTGAACTTGTCACTGCTGTTAGTTGTAATGTGGGAGAGATCAAAGGATTTCTTGTTAAATGATTCTTTCTCAAGTCCACATTTTACAAACATATATGCACAATCATAAATACCATACCTCTGGACTGTGTAATTATTAGGTTTTAATCATAGCAAATACTATTTTAGTGTTCTTTTTTCTAGTAAATGGCATTAAATATTCCCATATGAACCAAAATGGAAAGTTTATTAATAATTATTTTAAAGAGTTTTTTAAACTTTTGAATGATATGTAAAGTGACTTCATTGTATATTAAATGTTACATATCATGTTTTGCATGAATAACCTTAAAACTCTCCTCTCCAAGTCTGTTTTTGAGACTGATTTTGATTTTCAGTGAAGTTGGAAAAATATTTGCACAACTTGCATATAGGTGATAATGAAAATTGTTTTATAAGAAGGTAAGTAATACACAAACAACATTTTAGAATTTGGAATTATTTTCAAACAGCAGTAACTAGGACATTTATCAATACTGTATGTAGTGATTTTGTCAACTTTTAATGTAATAGTAGCTATTACTTACAGACACCTACCCCCGTCCTTTTCTGAATCACTATTTTGGGGTGAGAGGGTGGATACAGTATCCATTGTGATGCTGAGAAAAGACACTGTTTTCAGCTATGTTTTCATACTTTCTCATCTGGGAAGAATGGACTTTCTGACTTTGCTCCATTTGTGTGTGTGTGTACGCGCTTTCCACCAAGGCAGAATCTTTGATATGAGGAACAATGGAGAGTTCATTCTTAGTTGAGTAATATGGTCTCTGTAGATATGCATATATTTTAAATGCTTTTCAAATGTAACAGCTCTCTTCCTGGTAGTATAATTAATATTCTGCCATTGTCAAGTGGCCTCATATTTTCTCAGGTGTCTCAACTAGGGATTGACTAGTGAGCCTAATTTCCTAGGTATTGAGAAATACATGAAAGGAGCTCATCATCATTCTTAAACTCTTTGTTATAATAATAATAATGCAAATGGAATAATATCCTGGAACCAGATTTATGACTGTTCCTTAAAAATTAACACCTTAGTCTTACCTCTCTGTGTTTATAATAAGTGTCTTGCTTCACCATTTGTCTTTCACCAGCTCACAATTACATGTCACAGGGCATAATTAGGTTGGCAGCACTACCTTGCTGACATCCATATACATCCCCCCACACACACACCATTTGAATTTCAAGAATCTCCTTCAATTCATTTCAGAGTGGTTTTATGTTTACAGAACCAAATAAAAAACTCATGTCTTCTACAGCTGTGCTTCCCAGCTCAACTATTCAATAGAGGCTGCCCTCCTGGTCTCATGGGGAAATTGGAAACAAAAAAACAAAACCCAGAAGTGTGGTTGATAGGTAACAAATTCTGCTTTGATTTTTTATGAATGTCTTGTTCATCTGTTCATTGTTTATTCACGTATTTATTCTTGCAATAAATTTCTATTAAACACTTACCTGTGTTTACGTGAGTCTACAGGGAGTAGCAAGATTGATGAGGATTCCAGTCATAGTGTGAGGTAAAACTGAGTAAGTGCAGAGTGACTGGAAATAGATAGCATTATTAGTGTGGGAAGGGAAGACTTCTTTAAAGGGTGAGTTTTGCAATAAAACTGAAAAATGGAAATGAGCCAACGTTGTGGCAATCTGATAGAAAAGCAACCATGGCTAAGGAAATTCAAGTCCAAAGGCCCCAAAGTAGAAACCATAGTGATGGGCTGGAAGAGCAGAAAGAAAGCCAGTGTGACTGAGGGCAATGAACTTTTAGAAAGGTTTTCCTTAAACTTATTTTGCTATCAGGAGATTCTAGTCCCTTGGGGCTCATGCCCCCAGAGCCACCGACACACCACTATGATAGGGAAAGCCACTGAAAAATGACAGAGGTTGAGTGGGGATTGATGGTTCAAGAATGTTATGTGAAGAGTTACAAGAGAGGTGAAATCTTTCTTTGTTTTTCTGGGGACCAAATCATGGTGTGACCATGAGTGTCACACCATCTCATGACTGACTAGTGAGACCCTGACTTGGCTTAGCAGCTGCTGTCCTTGACCAAAGTTCAAAGCATCTGAACACCTGGCACACAGACTGACAATCCTCCCTTTCAAACTCTCAGCCCTCAGCCCTCAGCCCTCAGCTCTCAGCCACTTGCCCCTCCCCCCTACACACAGCTGCTGATTGATTCATTTTTTGACACTGCAGGTCCCAGGGATGGAGGCTATATTTATATGTTTGCTCATCTTAATTTTTAAGTTTTTTAAAGACTAAAGAAAAATAAGATTGATGAAGTGTGTAGAAAAATAACCATCAATTATTTAAATATCTTCAATATATACTTCACAGTGGAGAAAAGCTATAAAGCTCCCTATTA